CCATGGCCTTTGCCCCTCTCTTAAAGGCCTGAAAGAGGTGTTCAGCTCACGATGTATTAGCAAAGTTCCAAAGTGTTGGTCCCTCAGTGCTCAGGCCTGGGTTTGCTGGAAGAGGCTGATCTCATTAGTGCTGACGATGTTCTCAGCACTGCATTGTCTGGTGCTGTGCTGATGAAAGCAAAACTCATCTCATCCTGCATGAAAGAGGACTGAGTGGGAATCAGAAGTGAAAACAGGGTCTCATTTCACTCTAGTTTTTGTTGTCACTTTGGCTTTGCTTTTCTTCTGCTTGAAATGGCTCTTTCCATAGTGTTGCTTGCTTGGAAAAGGGAGGAAAACACTGTTGGTGCAGTTGGAGTTGACGCAGGGTTAGCAGTAGCTGGCTCAGGTGTGTGGTACCATCCAGGAGGGCTCAGACTCTCAGCCACATCCAAACAGGTGGAGGCACTGGAGTGAACCAGCTCCAAATACACCCTTTGTGTGTGAGCTGAGCTTGTTGGGTGTGGACATGCCCTGGGTGATGCTGTCTGTGGGTGTATCTGGACCTCTCAGGTGGCACAGTGAGCCCCCAGCCCCTGTCCTCGGGGCATCGTGCAGCTGTTGTGGGTGCCACAACCAGCCGCGGCTGGGCCAGTGCTCTCCAGTTCCTCTAGAGGGGAGGGAGCAGCTCGTGTGAGCGTTCCCAGCTCTCAGCTGGCTGTCCCTGTCGAAGGTGGTGAGATCTGCAGCTGGAGTTGCTCCAGGGTTGTGGTCGTCCTTGCAGTCTCTGTTTTGCCCACTGGAAAAGAGCAGTGGTCCAAGTCCAGGAAGGTCACTCCTTGTCCTGACTGGGTGGCAGAATGGTGATTGGTCTCTCCTGACCCTGTTGTGTTCCCAAGAAGAGCGTTCAATCCAACAGAGAGGTAATTCCCAGCTTTCCAGTAAGGATAACACTGGCAGTACCTAATTAAAGGGCACTCTTAGCCTGAATGAACGTGGATATTAATTTCCTTCTCACGCAGATGTCTGGTAAACTGACCCCCGAGGCAGAGCCATCTGGCCTCAGGTGGGAGGAGGGTCTGGGCTGGCGTGGAGGGCCTGGACGGTCTGTCCGAACCGGTCCCACAGCTCTCCTGTGCCCGGCTGTGGAGGGCTGTGCAAGGACAGATCAGAGCCATGGGCAGGTCTGGGGTGACCCGACTGCACTGCAGCCCTGTGGGCTCTGCTCTGCCCCTGCTCCCAGCATGTGTTCTGGGCCCACCCGTGTACGGCATTAGCATGGGCAGAAAGCAGCAACAGTTCCCTACTTGGATGGACTCAGAACTCAGCACAAAACAGAGCTTGGGGTGAGTGTCCAGATGACCTGCAGGATTGCACTGAGGAGGTTGTTGTAGTGCTGTCAGTGTTTTGGTGGGAGAGCAGCCTGATGCCAGGGAGGTGTGCTTGTTTCCTCTCCGCATTCCTTCTGCTCGGTGTTCCGTGCCGTGTGCTCTTTTGTCATTAAATAATAAGCAAAATAAAACCGGTTGTTTGTCACAGCCAGCTTGTTTTGCAGAGAACGTGCTCACTTTGAGACTTCAGTCTGTGATCTCCAGCCCTGTCAGGAGCTGTTACAGTGAGGCTCCTTGTAAACTGTTGAGCCGGAGGACGAGCCCAGCTGTTACTGCGCGCCGTGGTTCTGCGGGAGCAGCGTCTGATGCCGTCAAAATCATCTGCTCCCAGTGCTGTGTGTGTTGGCTGACATGAGTATGAGTAGATCTGCATAATTGTCACAGTAGTTTGAAGTGTGGATACAGCACTTGAGGCTGTGTGAAGTCTTTCCTGTCCCCTCTCACGGAGCACGTTGCTGTTTGCAGAGTTGCTTGTTCTATTCCTCCCTCCCACAAGGTGCTGCATTAATCTGCAGAGTTCACAAGGAAAATGCCCCAAACTAGAAATTGTCATCACCAGTGAACGGCTGACACGCTCAGGAGGAGCAGGAGCCCCATTGCTTCCCAGTCGCATTACATCTTACATTGAGGCTGTCGTCACTTTGGCATTGTGGAACTGTGTCCTAGTGTAGGTAGTATTGTTGTTGAGAGGCCTTGAGGACCTCAGTTCATCTGGGCTTGGACGGAGAGGATTTTTCATGGGTAGTGTGTGTCCCCTGGTAGCCTTTGACAGAGGTTGAGTCAGGCACAGTAAAAGTTGGATGGGATACTTCAGTTACTTGTTTTTTCAAGGTGCTTTTATTCCCTTTGACACTCAGACCTACCCCAGCCCTGAAGCAGTCATGCTCTTCCCCAAGGACACTGCTTCCACCCTCAGGTGCAGCCAGGCAGCAGGAGGACCCTGGATCTGCAGCCTTGGCAGCCAGTGATCCACTGCTCCATGTGGCTGGTGTGGCAGCAGCTGCTCTGGTTTAAGGAGCTCAGGACACTGGGACACTTGAGAAACAGAACAGCACCCCAGTGCAAACCCTTCCCGAGTGGCTGTATGCAGTAAGAGTTGGGTTCTCCACAGGCATGAGGAGAGACAGGGGAGTTACCTGTTTATAGCTTTTGTGACTGCAGTTTGCACCACAGCCATTGGTTCGGTAGGGAAATCGGGTTTTGTCTCATGGGTGATGGTTTTACCTTGGCCCAGCTTTCATGGCAGCACAGTGAGCCAGGCTGTGCCCCCCAGGTGAGGAGGGACCTCTCTGGATCTGCACTGCAGCAGGAGCAGGATCCAGCTCACCACTTTGGGATGCATCCCCCAGCCAAGGGAGAGGCAGCAGTGCCCAGGTGGGATGGTGGGAATGGAGTGAGGATGTGGTGTGAGCAGCTCCTGTGGAACAGAGGTGCAGCTTTCATTTCAGCCTGGCTCTGAGTCTCCCTTGCTGCTGAGGAATGGTGTAGAAGGGCTCTTGGATTTAGCACTAAAGTTTTTGCAAATAGGCTTTTCATAAGCCTGAATCTTTTTATTTTCATTAGGGGACCATTTTAATTAAAATGAAACTGGAATGTTTACTCTTTGCTTCCTATAGCTGATTGTTTTCTTCACTATGTGAGCACATGTATTATCTGCTCTAAAAGAAATGTCAGCAGTTTCTGATTGCCTTGTGAGTCTTACTCAACAGCTTGATTTTAATTGGGGGGAGGAGACATTTCAGGGTGCTCCATGGAGGTCTGGTGGCTTTGGGTAGCAGGGCAGAATAGGTGCTATCTTTGGTACAGTGGTAATTGCAATAGTCACGACTACTGCTTTAGAATAAAAATCCTTCATTTCTTACCCCTTTTGGTTGTTTTTTTAGTCATGGCAACTAAATACAACCTGTTTGGTAGTTAGAATCCTTCAGTCATGTAACGTTTTGGCTCTGCTGCATCCATGGCTGTAACAGAGTGGTTGTTGGGGAGCAGTGGCTGAAGGGAAGGAGGTAGATTTAAACTTCAGAAGAGGGTTTCTGATGCTGAGGGTGGTGAAACACTGGCACAGCTTGCCCAGAGAGGTGGTGGATGTCCCATGCCTGGAAACATCCAAGGCCAGGTTGGATGAAGCTCTGAGCAGCCTGAGCCTGGTGGAAGATGTCCTGCCCATCACAGGGGGTGGACTGGGTGGCCTTGAAAAGTGAAGGTTCTACAGTTCAGGTTGGATAAAGGAAAGAGAAGGCCAAGCACACAGGGAGAAGTGCATCCATGCCTTCAGGTACATTCTGAACCCAGAATTCCACCAGGATTTGTAGGTAGTAGATATTTATGTGGGTCAAGAGCATCTCTGGCTTGGAATCTTTGATAATTATGCAATATGACAAGAAGTATCCGTAGCAGAACAGTGTGTTCTGGATTCATCAGTGGCTCAGCCCTTGCCACATCCCCTTGGCCTCTGTTTTGATCTGCTGTGAGAAGGCTCCCTGAACTACTTGAGCTGCTGAAATGCCTCCTGTGTCCTGCAAAGCCTTTCAGAAATGATCGGTTTCTGAACATTTTCAGAGCTTAGCCAATATCTTGCGTGTCTTCTCCATCAGAGATAATGATCCTAGCCTCCCCTGCTCATTCTCTGGGGTTTTGTTTCCTCCTGCTGATTATTCAAACTAAATAAATAGGTAGGAAAATAACCAGTTCCTGCGTGTTAGCAAGGAGGAATGACGAAGAGAAAAATGAGAGGAAAAATGCTGCTTATCATAAAAGGCTGTTTCTCAGGAGACATAAATTGGTATTCATTAAGTTGTTTGCCTAGACTTAGTTAAAAGACATACTTGAGGGGCTGTCTGAGCAGAGTTTCGGCAGAAAGAAGTCATCCTCTTCGTGCCCAGATAAACCCAGATGAGGAGGAGAGACTGGAAAGTAAGTGAATGATGGATTGAGAACAGCCTGCAGAGCAGTGAGAAGAAACAGACTCTGAGATGCTTCTCAGTAGTGATAACATGGAACAGTTAGCTGTAGAGTAATCCTGGTCCCTCTTCTCTCACTGGATATTCAGGTCTTTTTCACAGCTGATGCAGAATTCATTTTCTGCCGTTTCTCGCTCGGGGAGTTCAGGGTCCCCTGGTTTGTGCTGGTGGTTTCTGTAGCTGGAGGTTAGTGCTCACCCGTGATGATTGTGGTGTGCTGCAGGTGTGATCTCACTGATGTCCTCTGTGCATCACCAGTTACAGGGGAGCAGTGCAGAGCAGTGCTAGGGATCAGTGTGGCTCAGTTTTGCCATGTCTGCATTCCTCCCAAAAAGCAGCTTCCTTTTGCCTGTGTGCTCTGTGACCAACCCTGTGTCCCACAGCCCTCGGGGCTGGGCTGGGGCTGCACCTCGGGGGGGGAGGTTTGGCTGCTCTGCTCCTTGACTGGCATCTGTTCTTGTTGTCCTGGGCTGGGCAGACGCTTCCAGGGAATGTGGGTATTGGTTATTGTGGAGCCTGTGGCTCTGTGCTTCTTGGCTTGGATCAGTAGAACAGTAACTGCACAGCACAACACTAGCAAAGTGCTTTCACTGGGACAGTGAATACTGTCAGACTCTTGTGCATAGGGCAACTTTGCTGATGTTTATGTTTTTTCTTTCCTTCTTTGCAGGTTAAGACCCTTGATTTCAACCCAGTTTGCTAAAAAAGCTGCCACTGAAGAGGTAGGTAAAGTCCAGCACGTCTCTTAGTGGAACAGGTGGAGTTTGGGAGTTCCCCAAGAGCTGTTCTCAGCCTGGGTCTGATTGTGAGGATGAGAGGGAATGGGCATAAGCTGGGACAGGGCAGAGTCAGATTGGATGTGAGGAGAAATGTTTTCCCTGTTGTGGTGTTGAGGCCCTGGGATATTGCCCAGGGAGGTGGTGCAGTCACCATCCCTGGAGGTGTTTCAGAGGTGTCTGGATGTGGCACTGGAGGATCTGGTTTAGGGTTCGGGGGTTCCAGCAGTGACAGGTTAATGGTTGGACTCAGTGATCTTAGAGGTCTCCTCCAACCTTGATGGTTCTGTGGTGCAAAATGCCACTTCTATGCAGCCAGAGCTGACCCCAGGGAAGGGCTGTGGGAGAGCAGTGAGGCCAGACAGCTTATCCTGTGCTGCATGGCTTGAAAATGTGATAGTGCCACAGCAAAGAGTGCCGGTAACTGCTGCTGTCACACTGCACAGAGTACACAGATGCATTTTGTTTGTGGTAAACTGTACTGTATGTCTGAAAGTTCAGTGTCCCAAAGGTGTTTGTATCTGTGCCCCATGGCCCTGTGACTCTGACACCCCTTTGAAGGTGAACCAGGTCCCTGGGGCAGGTTCACATCTCTGACAACTGTCTGTCCATACAAACTCCAGCCCAGGATGTCTGGAAGGGAATTCAGGAAGTTCTATTTAAAGGTGTTGTTTGACCGCTGCCTTACTTCTGAAATAACTAAACCCCAATGATTTTCAGAAACAGTTTGATATCCTGCCTAGGGAAATACATCTCCACTCAGTTGCTGTGCTCATTAGAAAGCCCTGCACACTTTTGGAAGTACAGCAGTCTGGAAGTGGACATGGTAATTAGAAGAAGGTCACATTTTAATTAGCATGGTGCAGTTTTAAAAAATAATGACTCAATTGTGGCTCCTTTGTATTCCCCCACTTTTCAGAGCAGATGGATACTTTTAAGCTTATAAATTGATGCATATTATGATGCTGATTCGTCTCAAACTGTTGTGTCTCTTTCTGCTTATACTGAGATGGACTCAAGTTGGTCACTCTGGAGGCAAAAGCAGTGGTAGGATATACAAACTGGAGGGAAGTTCCTCCAAATAATATGATTAATTTGAGCATTAAAAACTCATGCAAACCTGTCTTTGACTGTTGGAATATCCAAATACTTGATTTTCTATTAAAATTAATGGGTGTCTTTTGCCCTGTTAATGAGCTCTTGGAGCAAACCCTTAGGTGACTTTGAAAAACTCAGGCAGATTCGTTAGGTTGACTGTCATGGTATGTGACAAGTTCAGGAACAGCTTTGATGTCTGAATAATTAGACTATCAACTTTCTGGTACAGGGATTTTCTCTTATGGTGTGTCTCTAACGTGCCTGGAGTTCCAGGGATTCTGGGTGTTGCTGCATCCCCAGTAAATACCTGTATAAATGAATAAATAGAAGTCACTTGCAGCATCGAGTCAGACCTCACTGCTGATGGAGTTGGGGGAGGATGGAGCAGTACAGAGTTGTGTTCTGTAATCCGAAGCCTAAAGCACTGTAGGACTTTCCTCGTGGTAGTAGCCGGAGGAGTTGGGGGTTCCTGTTCTCCTTTGGACTGTTCATTGTTAGGAGAACTTCAGCACTGTCCTTCCCAAGGAAATGGTCCCAGTCCTTTGTTGCTCCTAGCAGGGGAGATGAGTCCCAGTGCTGATATCTGCTGACTAGTGACAGGTGCTGTTAATATTCCCTTCTCAATGTCCCTTATGTGACAAGACAGCATCAATGGTTAATCTTTAATGTTCTTTGAGTTGCCACTAATGGGCTGGGTTTTGTGCCACAACTCCAAATAGTCCAGTACAGAATGGGGGTGAAAAGTGCCCTGTTAGAGCTGATGGAGATCAAACTTATGTGATGTTTCTTCCCTGGATGAGAGAAGGAGGTAGAGCCCTAGACTGAGCACACCACGAAAGTGAGAGCTCCAGAAAGACCAGGGCCTGGGCTGTGTTGCAGGTTCCTGCCCCATTGCCAGACCTCTCCTTAGTGAACTGCAGCCAATATTCCCTGTTCCAAACTCCCTTCTGTCTCCTTGTGTCATTTCCCCCTCCGTACTGTGTCCTGCCCAGCCTTGGAGCAGCTGAGGAGGTGCCTGTGCCGCTCAGGCCCTGCCAGCGATCGATTCACAGGTTGGTGTTTGGAGAGTGTTGTCTGGAGTTTCATGGGTGGTGCTGCAGGTGGCAGAGAGCACGGTCAGCCCAGGGCTCTGCTGGCATAGTAGGTGCTCTCTGCAGAGTGCTCTGTTCCACAGCTCATTGCACCTCTAGATGAATCCGCCCAGAGCTGTCAAAGCCAGTATGTGCTGGGGGCTGCTGATCTGAAGGGCACGTTTTCACCCCCATTACATTGTCAATAAAGCTGTTACTGTGCAACAGGCCTGGCGAGAGTCAGGCACACTGAGGAAGAGGTTGTAGGTTTTCCCAGAGCTCTGCTGAGGAGCCTTCACTCCCAAATTTCTCCTTCCCTTGTGCTTGCAAGAGGATCCTTGTTCTGGTGTTATCGTCACTGGGTACTTCAGTTGCCTGTGAAAACTGGGTGGGTTTGCCTGGCTTCTTTCATTGGCACTTTGATTCAAGCAGCTGAGCCTCTTGCACTGGACATGGACTTGCAGCTCTCCTGTCCCTGTCACTGGGAATCTGCTGAAGTTTTGTGCCAATATTGGGGAAAAAGGAAGGGCTGCCCTACTGTCCTCTCTTCTTGTTCTGCAGGTGACCTTTCCAAATGCACAGGCAGGAGCCCCTGATGTAGAAAAACCAGCAGCTGTGCTGGTGGAGAGTGGCCCAGTAGCTTACAACCCTGAGGAAGAGGTGGAAGAGGAGGAGGTGGAAGAAGACGACGATCACTGCATGAGTGCCCTGCAGCTAATGGGAGGAAATGGTGAGCTGGGATGCTGCCCACGTCACCAGCTGGTGCTGAGGGCAGACTGGGTTCTCCTGCTGTCCCAGAGCTCCTGCTGCCCACTCAGTACTGCGTCTTCCTGTGGGAAAACCTGGGGTCACCCTTGGCTGAAACCTGACCTTCTCAGAGACTCCCCCTGGGCACACTTCACCTCAAGCTCCAGGCTCAGAGGCTTCTCAAGAACAAACGTATTAGGCCTTCTCAGAGCTGGTTTCACTAATGTGGATCTGAGCAGTTCCAGGGTCAAACCCCTTTGTCAGCAGTGTCTGGGCTCGTGGCCCCTGAGCTGAGCCACTCTGCTCCTACAAAGACACCCAGGGATGTGTCTGCCCTGCTGGAGACAGAGTGAATCCCCACTCTGTGTCTGGGGACAGTGTTGGGAGGAGGTGTCTGTGTCCCTGTCAGGAAAGGCACTGGCAGCACAGGATGCTGTTTGGTGCACAGATGTCTGCGAATTTCTCGGGGTCACCCAGCAAAGCCACTCATTTAATTCGGTTTCTGTGCTGGCAGGAAAAGGCAGAATCGTCTCTGTTGTGGCTTTTCCTAGCTGGACCCATCCACATTTATCCTTTATTAGAAACTTCCCCTTGGAAGTTAAGCTTTGAAATCACACAGAATTATTTTTACAAGGAGAGCTGCTAATTATGGGCTGTGACGGCTCAGGATGGGAGTAAGTTTCTACTGAAATGTTATTTACTGCAGAAATCTTTGCAGCACTATTAATTTAGCTTTCACAGGCTGTGTGTATACATTTCACTAACGCGTCTGTTGCTTTTGAATTGATTTCTCCGCTGGAAAATAATTGCTGTACCGTAGGAAAAACAGTTTGTTGCCTGCATTTATTATTAGAATAATGTTCCCAAGGAGAGGGACCCATGTGGGGGAGGTCTGTGGTTATTAATAACCCCCCACAAAAATAGATGAAAGGTCACTGAGCTTTTTTCTTTGTAAATGTTGCTATTTTAAAACCATTCTGAGAACATTCCACTGTTCCTTGTCTGGTCTGGACAGTACCTGAAAAATCTGAGTTAGAAAGTGAAAAGGGAAGGAGCATTCCCAGAACTGGAGCACAGGTGTGCAGAGCTGCTCAGCACAACTCCTTCCTAGCTGCTTTCTCCAAGGAGTTCAGACCTGCCTGGAGCAACTGCACCAGTGGCAGAGGGTGAACTTCACCCACTCGACACCAGTTACTGCAGATTGCACTCAGTTCTGCTCCTGAGCATCTGCCTGGCTCCTTGGGTGAGATGTTGGCCTGTACTGAACATGGAATGCAAAGGTTGATGTTCCTCAGCACTCGTATGTGATGGTTCCTGCAGGTCCAACTGCCAACAGAAGGTGTCTTGTTTTCCCACATTCAGACTCACACAGAGGAGGAACTGGTGCATTAGAAGCACAGATTTGCCTTTGGACACAGCACAGGCTTTACACTCAGCACTGGTTATGGAAACAGAACAGGATGAAAGAGTCTGATCAAAATTTGGAGTTGTTTCTCTAAAAGCAAGTGGATACAGGAGGTGTGAGTCAGATGTGTTGGTCAGGGCTCATCCCACGACCAATTGGTGCTGATGGGAACTCTGAGCTATCTCTGAACTCTGCAGTTGCAGCTTATAAATCCATGAACAGTATAAACAAACCAATGATTTCCTTGGTGCCTGTGTCGAGTGAGCAAGGTGCCTCCTTGTAAATCCATGCTGCTGCTTCTCATCTACCATGTGCCAAACTTCTTGAGACAACCAGGCTCAATCCCCTGAGCCTCTAAATTACACATGGATCTCATGTGTCCATGTGCCAGGTGCTCCCAAGTGAGGGCCCAGTGACGAGGGAGCAGACACATTTACACACACTTGCAGGTGGTTTTATTGCACTGAGGAAAGTACATGCAGGAACTTTTTATTTAGCCCCAAGAAAATACAAGATTTTCAAAGTGCTTGTTTAAGGCAAAACTTGTGTTACACAGCAGGAGAACAACCTGGGAGAAGCAGCAGCTTTGGTGTCTTGCACCTACACAGAGAATTGCATTTGATGTGCTCTGTCTGTGTGTTTCAGATTATGGCTGTGATATGGATGAAGAGGATGGCTATTAGCCCCGTGCACTTTCAAGGGATGTGGACTGTCTTGTTCTCAGCGAATCACCCGTCCTTCAAGCTGTATGAGTAGTGAAAGAAGCTGTCTGTGGTCAGCAAATGTAACCAAACAATCTGTACTTTTGTAAAGCAAATCTGAGGTTGGCACTGAGTCTGGTCAGTTTGCACTGACCTGTAACCCAGCAATAACCAGTTGGGGTTGTACTTGAATTTATTTTTGTTCTGGTGGATCACGGTGGGAGAGTGGATGTTTCCAGAGAACCAGAGGAGGGACAAACCAGCCTGTGTGCAGAGCTCGCCTGGCTGAGCACAGCGTGTCTCTCCTGGCTCTGCTGCAGGCAGGTGGCTGACAGGAGCAGGGGCAAGACAGGGGCAAACCAGCGGCATGGCCTGGTGGTTGTTGGAGTGCAGCAGCATCAGTTATCTCACAGTGCTGTGACTGAAGGAAGGAAACGTTTCCCCCTGCACTGCGAACGTGACCCTGTTCCTGTGTGCAGCCTCCCCTACCCAGCCCTGTCAGAAAGGAGTGACAAGTTGTGTGTTTGCAGGACAGTGTTGGTGTCTCTGAGATGGAGTAAACTCTTCTTTGTATTAATCAATTCATAGGTTGCTTAAAAGCTATGACAACAGGAGGCAAAGTTGGCAGTGAAAAGTCGTTGTCGGCTGCGAGTGCCGCGTGCTTTCCACGGGAGCAGGAGCAGGGCCGGGTAAGGGGTGCAGGGGGAAGCAGCAGTGTGCCCTGCTCTCCTGCTGCTGCTGGGCACCCCAGGGCAGCCAGGGCTCCTTGCTGCTGGCACTGCCACGGGAGAGTCGCTCCAGCCATCTCGGAGGAGCTGCTCTTGCCTGAGTCAGAGCCAGGTCTGCTCCCAGGAGCTACTGAAAGAAGGAAAGCTGAGCTTTTCAGTAAATAAGCTAGCATCTGCTTTGCCTGAGTTTAATTGAATGCAATTTGCTTAACATTCTGTGGGCAAATCAAAGGTCACCACACAGCAGCCTGACTTCCATGGCTGCAGTCCCACCCCACATGAGTGCTGCCGCAGCCCCCTGTGCCCTGTCACATCACGGGCAGGTCCTCCTCATCGGGGTCAGTCTGCTCCCGTGAGAGCAGGGCCCAGGGATGGAGCCCCGTGCCAGGCTCCTGCCTGGTGCCCCTGGCACTCCTGTCACCTCTCCCTCCAGTCCAGTGACAATCATGGAAGCTATTGTGCTGCAGGCTTGTCCTGCCCCAGGGAAACAGAAACCTTACCAGCATGGTTTCTGTTCAGCTGTGCCTCCTGGTTGGCACCTCCTCCCCACCCTCTCTGGGAGCACTCATCCATAGGAGCACTCATCCCTAAGGCACCATTCACCCTCCTGCTGCAGGGGGTGGGTCGTGGCAGGAGGAGCAGCTGCCTCGGGAAGCTCTCTAGCTACTGCCAGGCCAGTGACAATGCTGCTCATGCCTGTGGTCACCACCAAAGAGGGGAAGGACCACACAGCCTCCCACACTTCCACACTTCTTCTGTCCCACTCGCCAGCAGGCACAGGATGGGTCGTGTAAGCTGAGCAGGAGCAAGTGCTTTTGTTAGGAGCAGCCTTGGTTTCATTTGGCTGGTAAGGGTGGGTTTTGACTGTATCTGCCAGGCTCTTCTGAACCCTGCATAGGAGTATCTCTGCAAGGACTTCTTAAGAGCAGAGCTGGGTAACAAAAATGATGCAGTGAGGCTAGTGGGAAGAAGAACCAGATTCCAGTTACTTAGTTTGCAGCACTTCAGTGGAAAGAGGAGATTCCATATAATTCTTAGGAGAAAATCTGGCATTTTCACCAAAAGCTGCAGCTTTTTTCTGATGCTTTATAAATACTGCACAGAAGCTGATACTGGGGAGATAAACCTTTCTACCTCTCTTTTATCTGCACTGTAAAACAAAAATCATGCTAGAAGCAGACAATTTTCTAAGAAGTGGTTTGTTTTATCCAAGTTCATGTTCTGCAAGTCTCTGAGACTGTTGAAGTTGAACGTTTGGCTTTGAATTAATCTACCATAGCACTGCTACAAATACATTTGCAGTATATTCTCAAGGCTTGGGTTTTATTCCAAGGTACACAGTATTCTCTATGCAGGAAATAAACATGCATAAATAAACATGTGTATGACTCATGTAGGTCGAGTGCTCTTCTCCAGTGCAAGACGTTGGCTCTTAAAGAAACCGCTGAGATGAACCCTTTGCTGCTGAGGGTCTTCCCTGAGCCTTCTGGTTTGTTCCCCCAGGGACTGAACCTGCTGCCACTGCAGTGTGGGAGCTGAGTCCACCCAACAGCTGCTGGTTGTACCTTGGAATTGAGCAGTGCATTGTTTCCTGCACTGCGAGCAGAGGGTTGCAGAGTCTGAGTGCTCTCTGTGTGCTCAGGAAAGGCTGTCAGGGAGGTGCTAGAAAGGCACTTGGAGAGCAGGAGAAACAAGAGACCTACAGTTCCATAGCATTTCAGTATTACTGGTGAAGTTGATGGCTTGGTTTCTGCACGGGATTCCTACAGGAAGGCATGGGCTGGGCAGACTTCCCTCTGAGCTTCCCAGGCTGTGGTGGCGATGTGCGTTCGGAACTCACTGGTGACTTACCGGGATTTTTGTAATGTTCATTCCTTCTTGATTTATCTGAGCTCAGGAAATGTAAACAGAGCAGAGCATGCTAGTTTCTGTTTTTATAGCTAGTCATTAAAATGTAAAAAGATTAACTCTGCATTAACTCTGTTTACTACTGTTGATGTATCTGGACAATTCGGTTGTATGTAAGTAAGCCTGAATTCCCTTGGAGTAATTTGGACCCTGCTTTTCTCAGGATTCTGATTATCATGAAAAGAGCTTGTAAGGCTTCAAGATTCGTTGTTCTTAGCTCATCTGGTCTGAACCCACACAAGCTGTGTGTGCTGCACAGAGCATCTCCGGCTGCCAGTCGCTGTGCCTGACGGCCGAGACCCTCCAGCTGCTGCATGCAGTGTGTCTGCCATGCAGTCCTTAGCACCCTGCTCTCCTGGGAGTGGAAGGGGAAAGGAGGAGAAGAATGGGCTTGTCGCTGTGGGGAGAGTGTTTCAGTGTCTTAACCATCCATGGCAGCTCTTTGTGGTCGGTGTGTTCAGTGCAGCGATGTTTAGGTGGTGCCAGAGCTTCGTCGTGAGGGTTCAGCGTGCTCGTAAAAAAGATTCTTGCCATGCTGATAACTTGTCTGTGCTTTGGATTGCTTGAAACTCCGGTCACAGAGGTGTACAGTTAGTGTAGAGCTTGCCTAATTAATGTTCTGTTTCTTATTTTTGTCTTGAATCCTTGTGTTTGGTTCAGTTAGTGCCAAGGAAATGAAACCTGTTTGATGTGAGCATATGCATCATCCTTACACGACCAGACGAGCCATGTTGACCTTTTCTACTGTAATGTATTTGCTGTAAATAAAGAGTAAACCCCTTGCAAAGCCCATCTGTTAGGATGCTGATTGCTGATCTTCTGTCTTCGTTCTTGTGACTGTTCAGTTTTGGTTGCTGCATGATTGGTTGATCGTGGCCAAAATCTGCCATTCAGAGCTTGCTTTCATCTCTAAAAGGGAAGACACATCTCATCAGGCAAGTGTTTTCTACAAGGTACTGTTCCACTGGTACATGTAGATACTTTTGTAAAGTGCTTAACATTGACAAGGTTTTTGCACTAAGCTGTGTAATTAACTGACTGTGGGAGCAATGCATGGTGTGTCATCTAGTGGAACTGTTCCAGTGCTTGTTTCGGAGAGTTGTGTCTCGGTAAATAAGGTGTGTGCTGAGTTAAACATTATGTCAACATCTGGTCACCACAGCTTGAAGACCAAAATCCACATCTGCCCTTTGTGCTCATCTTCCTTGTTTCTGGAAGGGGAGATATTGCTGGTCCTTGGGAGTGTCTCCTGCAAAGCTTCAGCACGCAGTAGGACGATTAAGAACAGTTGGATAGGGCACTGAGTGCCATCCCAGCACTTCCCTGGGCTCCTAGGATGTTACCAAGGCATATTTGTGCTTTATTTAACATTGGGATGTTTGTATCTCAATTTCTTTCCAGCTGTTCCAATGCTTTCCACTGGGAGTTGGGAATGATCAGATCCTGTCAGTCGAGGATCTGTGCCATGGACAAGAGTCTCTGGAGCAGTGGGGAAGGAAGGGATAGAAGTGTTCTGGGGTAAAACCAGTTTTTAGTACTGTGATATGTCACACAAAGCCACTTCCTCCTCTGTTTGCCAAGCACAGCTTGCTGGCTTGCCTGC